CCTAAAGAAACCGCATGTGCGTCCACTGAGCTGAGTTCGGTGAGATTATTTCACTCTCATGTAGCAACTCTACTGCATTTTGCAAGATATTCTCCATTTCAGACTTCATTTTCCACCCTCTGATATCGAACCGAAAAATCTCTCTGTCTTTTAATGTTGGCTAATATAATCAAGAAAAGAGTTCTTTGTCAGAAACTAGTCATTTTATCGTGTTCATGTATAGTCTTTGAAAATTATTTTGCATGTTGTTAATGTATATAGTGCTTAAAAAGTTTTTTTGAGTGCTTAAAAAGTACTTAAAAGGTGCTTATTTTTATTTGAACAAGTTGGCTAGGCATACTGAAATGGTTTTATTTGTATTGTATATTTTTTTATTTGTTTCATCTTTGCGTTTAAAAGATCTTTAAAAAACATGCGATCATTTAAGTGTTCATGAAAATATTTTTAGTGGACTTTCTAAAGATCTTGATATTTTTAATATGTTATTTCAGTTAAATATTTCATTGTTACAATGGCATAATGTAACGAGACACCACTCTATTGAGATTTTTTTTATTTGTAGTGTTTCGTTGTTAAAATAAAAACAAATACAGATAAAATTAAAAAAAAAAAAAAATTCAAAGTAGTCATTGACTAGCTTTTGTTTATGTGAAAATTATAGCAAGCATTTTGTCTGCTACAAAAATGGGTCTCTATGTCTGTTCTTTAATTTTTGTATTTTGAAAGATTCGAAAATGTATTTGTTGTTTTGATGTTTGTTGTTGTTTTTGCTAACAAGATTTGTTAAGTAGTTTTTAATGATGAACGATTTAACTATTTTTCTTTTTTTTAAAAATTTCTTAAAGTCTAAATTTCTAAAGTCTTTTTTTTTTAAAAATTTCTTAATCTTAAGTGCTTGTTAGTAAATATTAGGAGTAAAAATTAGTTCGGTCTGTTTTTTGTGTAGTCAAAAATGCATTTATTTCAGAACAAAATGCACGAATAGATTAATCAAAGTATTGTCCATCGCATGGCTGCACCTCTCAGGCAATTTTCGAATTCCATCTCGAAAAGATGTCTCGTCTTTTGAGGCGATCCAAGTTAGGAGCCAATTTTCGATTTCTGCGAAAGAAGTGAACCGGTAACCTGCCAAATCGTGCTGCATCCGTCGGAACTACCAGTCTTCAGAAGGAGCAATGTCCGACGAATACGGCGGGTGCGGTAAAATATCCCACTTGACCTAAAGTTGACATTTAAATTTTTTACGTGCAAAAATCACATTTAATTTACCATCAGTTTCCTATCCCGAGTTATCTCGGGCACATAAAGTGATACTTTCCGAAAGCAGTAAAGGGTGACGCCATTTTTAACTCTTTTTTTTTATTTATTTAATCTCTATTTAAATCCAGCAACTAGTGTATCGCACAAAACACGGTGCTGTGCCACAATCCAACAGCAGAACTCCTAAACGATAATTGGCAAACTTTCAATCACAACAGATTATGTTTTTTTTTATTGCTTCCAGCTGAGTAAAAACACAATAAAGCGAAACGAACTGCTACACCCGAGTTTTCTCGGGATAATAAACATTTGCAACATATCGATATCCCGAGTTAACTCGGGATAATCAGGGAAGGGTTTAACCATCTTTGCATTCCGGATAGCGTATTGACAAAACATACCGTAGATTGTAAACGTGGCGATTGCAGGTGCAGTTGGCGATGGATTAAGCGTAAATACGCTTCCCGATAGAGCTTGCACGGCCCATTAATCCTTTGACTTTCTAGATTTATAGTCCATATCTTATCATTTCATATGCATAGGATCCACCCATAATAAACATCAGCAGAAATAGGCTCACGATATGCCCCAAATCGAACATTTATATTTTGCTTCTGTTTTCGAAACAACTCTCTTGGCGTTTCGTGCCAAACATTTTCGCCAAGATTCATGTGTCTTGTCTTATTGCCTCGCCGGTCATTCATCAAAAGGAACCATTATCCGTCACGACAAGGGGGGTGGAAGCTAATAATGGCTTCATTTGGCAGGAACAGGTGGAGGAGCAGATGTAAGAATTTTATATTATCTTTTGATGATGAGTCACTGATACTGTAGTTGTAGCCTTCGTAGCAAATAAATGTTTGTTTAGTCAATTTTTAAATTTTGGCCCCGTATAAGGGAATTATTGATTGGAATTATTTTTGAATTTAATGACTTATAGAAAGAAATATATTACTGGATATTTATCCATTGAGCATATTCTGTTGTAACCTGCTTCTAAATACAGGACTTTTTTTTTTTTTTTTTTTTTTTTTTTTTTTTAGATTANTGTTATTTTTTTGGTTTTTTTTTTTTTTTTTTTTTTTTACTTTTTCTATAGATTAAAAGTAGGAGTGGCCCTTTGTCTAGATCAGTGGTTACCAACTGGCGGCCCGCGAAGCCTTTTTTTGGTGGCCCGCGATCAAAAATATATTAGTTGTCATTTTATTGCGGACAATTTTCGTAAAAACTCTATATGGGTTTAAAATACTTTTTTTTTTTCGTTCACAAAAAACCTACTTTATTCGTTTCTATGAAATTTTACATACCAACGGTGCAAAAAACTTTATTTCTCAGAATTTGCATCCAAGAAAATATTTATTCAAATGCAAAAATAATAGTCTATGTTGCTCATTTTTATTTCGTTTTTTTTTTTTTTTTTTTTTTTTTTTTTTTTTTTTTTTTTTTTTTTTTTGTGAACATTAGCATGTGCGAATTAGAAATTTTCTCGAAGAATTCTTCGATTTAACTTCTTGAAACCACTCATTTTGGGCGAAATTAATTACATTTGTAAATTTTGTGGCCAGAATTTTTTATTATGCAAATAAGTATTTTTAAAAATCTACTTCTTATTTTAATTTATAATTCAATACTATTGTTTTGTGCAACTTGATAAAAATCTGACAGTAATATTTAATGTTCCTTCAAACATAAGAGTCCTATATTAAATTTTGATAAAGTTGCGGCCCGCTATTTAACTGGTGTTTTTAATTGCGGCCCCCGGCCTCATGTAAATTGGAAACTCCTGGTCTAGATCACGCGTGCAGAGATGATTGTGCTCCGGAAAAAAATCCGGATTTTTCGCTAGCCGCGATCCGGAAGTTTCTGGAAATCCAAGGTCTAGAAGTATTAAGAAATCACCGTTCACATTTATGTATAAAAAAACTCTCGTATATTTTTTTAAAAAATATTAGAATTAGAATTTATACTTGGCATCTCTTTCATTTGAAAATATTTTTTTCTGGTAGAGAAATAAATCTAATTAGAGATAAAATTAAACGTGTACATAATTATTCATTTAAATTAGGCTGTATATAATTTATTTAGAATTTCATGTTTTGAAAACATAAATGATTTTAAATTTATAAAGACATTAATTTATTGAAATGCGTCTTTAATAATTTTACCCAAGAAATTTTCAGGTTTTTGAGTTGGGTTCACAATTACCCCTGCGCATGGGTAACACACGCGGACCGTAAGAACCCTGACAAAATTTGTTATTTTTTTAAAAAGTTTATTTTACCGTATTGTTTTTTATCTTCTTTAATATTAACGATTTAGTTACTGAGAATATTAGGAATTAATACTGTTGTAGTCATCTTCGAATTAAAGATTTTTTTTGAAAAAAAATTAAAAGGAGGTGTGGCGCTTGATCGTGGTGACTAACCCGGGTCGCAAGACCCTCAATAAAATAATTATAATTTTTATCATTTTTTTAAAAAATTATCTTCATTAATTTTTTATTCTTTTAATGATTTAGTTTAATAAAAAAATGCTCTAGAAATATCTGTAAAATTGGTTTAATTTAAATTCCTATTATAACTAAGTATAATAACACCTAGAAATCAGAAAATTTTATTACTAGAATTTTTATGAAATTATAAAGTTGAAAATTGTGCATTTGTAATTAAAAAGACATTTTCGAAAATCAATTTGGTGAAAACTTTTTAAACAAGTTAAAAAAAATCAAGTTTCAAATTCTTTTTTCTCTACTGCAACATTTCTTAACAAGTTTAGCATGCCCTAATCTGTTAATTTAATATTGTTTTAAAAACAAAATATATCCACTGAAACTTTTCTCAATTTTCTTTTTGTGAAGCTGTCCGTTTATGGTTTTAAAACCACATCCTTTGCACGGTTTTAACCTTTTTTTTTTACTGGGAAAGGATGTGGCTAAGATCTGGTTGATAAGGAAAAAAATAACATACGGTTCCCATACTTAACAACAGGTACATAAATACTCAACCGAGACGAGCATGAAAAATTTATTTCATTTTAATTCACTTAGCCTAAAGCAGTCGCCCATTTCTCGTTTTTCTATTTTTGCCTACTCTCTTCAACTATGATGCATAATGCATGATCTTGAGCTGTAATTCATGAAAGATTCTGTTGTCATGGTTACTAGACAAAATTGTATATATATATAAAAAAAAGTAAAGAAAAGAAATAAAGAGAAAGATGATGAGTTGAGCGGTCGCGTGGCTACAAGTGGCTGAGATAATAGCTATGAGAATAAAAAATCGTTTGCAATCTTAAATTTTTATTTTTTTATACTGCTATCAAAATGATTCACATTCTCACAGTAATTACTCGTCTAACTCTCTCGTCTCTTGCTTGTTCGAAATTTGCTTGAGGCTTGAAAGCTTAATGCTATTATTGATTCTTTTTAAGGTGGTATTTTAAAGAAGTTTAGTAGGTAATTGTTGCTATCTAATAAATTGTTACTTATTTATTTATAATATCGTTTTCATTTAGGATAGCAGTTCATCTTAAAACATTCGAAAATATTATATTGATTCTTTTAAGGTGAGTAGCATTTTAAAAATGATTAGGAGATAATTGTTGAAATAATTTTTTGTTAGTCCTTTAATTGCAATAACAATATTATCTATGTTTAAAATAGTTGTTCTGATATAGTAAAATATTCGATACTTAAAATTTATATTTTCATTAACAAAGTTCCGTTAAAATTAATTTCTAAAACTTAAGCACGATTTGCAATTTTTTGTTTTGTTTTTGGGTATGATAATTTATCAATACAGTGAAACCTGTGTATAACGATACTGTCTATAACGATAAACCTGTCTATAGCGATATTTCCTTGATTTTTCCGTTGTAGACTTGTCCCGGTGAAATTCATATTTACTCAATGCATTTTTAACCTGTTTATAGCGATAACCACTTTTCAGTTAAACATGTCTACAACGATAATTTTTTCCTCTTTTAATAGTTGATAGTTCTATTCCGATTTTTCTACCGTTGGAAAACGACTCCCCATCGAGCCTAAATGTGAGATAACGAAATGTTTTTTTTTTCCATCTCCTTTGTATGCAACATTCTTTCGTTGTTTCTGAGAAAAAAAAGCCACTTTTAGGGGAAATTAGAGCAGTAGAAATGGGTGAAGGGTCTCATTCATAAGTAAGTCCTTATCGTTACTCACTACGGACTGGCATGTTTTCCTTGCAATAAAGTTAATTTTAATTTTGAAGTGATGGCTCGGTATAAAGCATTATCTTTTGAAGAAAAATTAAATATCATATCGGAAATTGATCAAGGATTGAAGCAAGTTGACGCTGCTAAGAAATATGGGATTTCACAATCAGCAATAGCTACTTTTTTGAAGAAAAGAAAAGATATCGAAGATGCTGTGGAAGGAAGCAAAATTGATGGTAAAAGGAAAAGATTTAAAGGTGCAGTTAATGAGGATGTAGACAAAGCTACCCTAAGATGGTTCCACGAAATGAGACAACAAAATGTGCCAATTAGTGGTCCAATGATTGCAGAAAAAGCAAGAACATTTGCGTCTTTGCTAGGCAACAACGAGTTTAAAGCCAGCAATGGGTGGATTACATCATTTCGAGAACGTCATGGTATTGTTTTTAAAACCATCTCAGGTGAAGAAAAGTCAGCTCCAGTCAATGATGTTGCATCCTGGAAGCAACGAGAGAAAGAGACTATTAAAAAAACTTATTCTCCAGAAAACGTGTACAATGCTGATGAAACTGGCTTATTTTATCAGCTCATGCCAGATAAAACAATGGCATTTAATCGAGAAAATTGTAAAGGCGGTAAAAAATCAAAACAAAGGTTAACTGTTCTACTTTGTGCAAACAGTACTGGAACCGATAAACTGAAGCCGCTCGTTATAGGCAAATACGCTAAACCTAGATGTTTTAAAAATGTGAAAAGTTTACCAGTTGACTACAAGGCAAACAAAAGAGCCTGGATGACAGAAGAAATATTTAACAACTGGCTGCTTGATGTGGTTAAGGAGATGAAAAGAAAGAACAAAAAATAGCTCTCTTAGTTGACGACTGCACTCCTCACAACAATCCTCCAAGTTTGAAAAATACAAAATTGTTTTATTTTCCCCCAAATTGCACGTCGATTCTACAGCCATTAGATTTGGGAATAATAAAATGTTTCAAAAGATACTATCGAAAAAGATTAGTTCAGAACGTTGTTTATAATCTGGATAATAAACTCCCAAATCCTTATGCAGTTGATGTAAAAAATGCATGTGATTGGATTTCCGGAGGGTGAAATTCATTGACACAATCCACCATCCAAAATTGTTGGAAGAAAGCCTCTTTCTTTGAGGATAAAAGCAACGGAAACGCAAAAACTGAGCTTACTGAAATCACTGATGAAGAAGAAAAATGCGTGGCAGGCTTAAATTCGATTGTCAGTGATTTCCAAAGATCATCTAATACATCATTTCTATTTAACGCAGATGAATTTTTAAATTTAGATAATGATGTGTTGGTTTTCAGTGGTGCAAGTGATGAAGAGATTTTAGCAGAAGTTATCCCGGGTGATCAAAGTGATGAGGAAGAAGCAGCTGACTGTTCTCAAAACAGGACTCAAATTTCACCCGAGAATGCCATATTGCTAATTAACACTTTGCAAGATTTTGTTGCAATATTACCAAATGTAACTGATGTTCATTAGATGGACTAAAATCTATGTGCATGGAAATGGCAATTGCTTCCAAAAATAAGCAAACAAAACTAACCGATTATTTTTCTAAATAATTTCTGTTTTGATTCATAAAATTGTAAGTAAATTTTTTTTGTGTGCTGTTTCATAATTCTAAGTAAAATTTTCATTCGGAGTCTATAAAAGAAGTTTAATTTATCATTAGTTTTAAACGTATACTCTTAAATTTCAAACCTGTCTATAACGATAACCTGCCTATAACAATATTTTATTTAGGTCCCTACAGTATCGTTATAGACAGGTTTTACTGTATATTATTTTATTTTACTTTGAAATTTTCCGAAAATAAGGGGGGGGGGAGGTTATACAGCATTGTCGTCGTAAAACCCGGTAAATGATTTTTTTATAGTGATGAGGAATTAACAATTTTTTTCTCTTTCAGTTTCAACTTAAATATAGTTTTGTTTCAAACTTTATTAGATTAATACATATTTCAAATGTTTTAAAAGGAAATGCTTGCCAACATAGTTTGCAATTCTGGCTATCACATTTTCCCTATTTCCTACATAAGCTTTAATTACATCTGAGCTTACTCAATTGTTTTTGTCTTAGTAGAATGATTTGTTTTCATGATTTTTTTTTTATAAATATAAAATAGCGAAACGTATTACATACGTCAGAACCTCACAATACAAATATTTTCAGAACAACTCAGCGTACAGTCTCTGGTTAAATTATTAGACTCCCTATAAGATTCTATGCAAAATTAAGACTCACTATAAGATTCTATGCAAAATCTTAATTATCAGGTGATTCTATACAGCTTTATTGTTTTTACGCGGTTCGCAGTTAACGTTCGCGTATCAATTGATTAAATTAGGCGATATATTAAATAAATGTAGAATATTTATTATATCAAATATGCTGAATTATGATTTTCAAAAAAGTACTGTTACAAACGTTGAGTTTTGAGAATATTGACAGAAAAAGGTAATTTTTTTATTCTTTAATGTGATTATTTTATTTTGAATTGAAAAACATAATGAGAAATACTTATGAGATTTTTAAAAATACATTTACTTCTCGTAATTTATTCAATGTATTTATATTGAAAAAAATCATTGGAAATTTCAATAAAAATTTATTTTTATTGAATTTTTATTTATTTATTAATTTTTTGCTACTTTTTTCTCCGTAACATTACATGAAAAATTTCTGATTTGGAACCAAAATATTAAATACATTATGGATTAATATTAAATTATGGATATCGAAACATAATTATTACTAGTTTTTAAAAAAATTCTAACTCCTGATATTCCTGTGATCCTCCCGCGCAATACCTTTTGGGAACCACTGTTCTATATTACATTCTCATAGCTGCCAATTCTACTGGATTTTACAGTAGACTACTGGATTTTACCAGTTTCTCCTTGACCACTGTTTTAAAAAAAATGTTCTAGTTTTAGGGAGTTTTCAAAAAAATCCCTATTGAAATAGACTTTTTGTACAGATTACTACTTGCTCGATTATTTAAATAAATATTACTAATACGTAGCTGCCAACTCTACTGGATTTTACCAGTTTCTCCTTGTTAACTGTTTTAATTAAAATTCTTCGTTTTTGTACGTTTTAGAAAATTCCGTAAAAATGATTAAGTTTCCTAAAAATATCCCTATAGAAATAGAATTTTTGTGCAGATTATTGCTTGCTTGCATGAATATTTAATTAAGTATTACTAATACACGATGAAGCGAACCTCATTTATAGAAATTGGTTCAAAACCTTTCTTGTTCAAAAATGTTCAGTTTATTTTTATTTAGAACTCTCTTTAAATTAATTTAAAAAAATCTTTTAACTATCTACTATGATTTAAATGCCTATTAATATTCGAAATTATGAGTATACATCATATTTCAAGTATGTTTATTGTCTATCATAACTGGAAAATATTGCTGTTTTTCTATTTTGATGACTATAAAAATCCCTGAAATTCCCTATGCAGAGGTCTGTCCAGACATTCTGTGAAAGGTCCGTTTTTGTAAAATTGTGAAAAAATTACTCGTAATTTGTGAATATAAAATTAACGCTAAGCCACATTCTTTCAACCAGGGTTCTGCTTTTGTGAATTTGTGTAAATAGGGTCTGTTATTGCAAAAAAACTTTTTCAAGGAGTTTTTAAATTGTAAAGACATACAAGATTATGCTCTACACTGTAAAATTATTAAAAAAAAAAAAAAACGATTAAATTTTAAAAATAAACAGCAATTGCTCTTACTAAATTAGAGATGCAACATACAAATATTTGGTATTTAGCCTATACTGCTGAACGCAGAATATTAATTTCGGACGAATAATGGAAGAAGCGTCTGCGGAAGACAAAACTTAATTCGTTTACGTCCATCTTTCTTTACCCCCACCCCCCTGGTAAGAGTTAATTCGATTAACAAAACAACAATGAAGATAAACAAATGTGTGAAGGGTCCCAGTAAAAGATAAATTATTTTGTGAAGGGTCCGTTAACTGACCCAACTTCTTCTAAACAGACCCCTGCTATGTGTACAATATTTGTGATTTATGCAACAATTATCATGAAATTTATATTGTATCGATTTTTTTTTCAATCCATGTTGGTAATTATGCATTCTAAAGATGCAGCATTTGTCTTGAAAGCAGAAAAAGATAATATTTTTTTCCCTCCTAAAAATAAAATGGGAAGAATCCATCTCTCTCTGAGGAAAGCGTTCGTCGTCTGACTCATCTGAAAAAGAACATAAAAACGATTGCTTTTTTCTTTTATTATTTTTCTCTCTATATATATATTTCGTTTGTGCATAGACATGGCTTTAATCTTCGCAGGGGTGCATATAAATTTTCCTACTAAATCATTTCTTCGCTTCAGAACTTATATGTCAAAATCCGTCACGTGAAATCCCTAAGGACAAGGGAGGGGGGGGGGAGACCGTTTGATAGGAACCTGATCGTAAGAAATGAGCAATGCTCTTGTTCTGAGGGTTTCTTACCAATTATTATTTCTTTTTTAGACTAACTTTTTTGTGACTGAGTTTTTTTATTTTTGTCCACAGGATTAGGATGTATAAGCCTTAAAAAAATGAATGTATATATGTGCGTAATACCTCTTAAGGTAAAAGAAAGTAATAAGGTACGGTTGTTTATTCTCTAACAGTTATGTTCGATTTTTTTTTTCCAATTCAACTTCTTTTATCTTGATTCACTTCAATTTGTGACGAGTTGTGTCATTGACATTTTGAGCCTCTTTCTTAACCCAAAATTCTTCTGAATTCATTCTCTTTCTGACTTCTAATAGCAGAATCTGTCGCTTATAAGGAATTTAATCATATTACTGAAATTTAGGCCACTTTCCTACCAGCTAGAGTGTTCAGACACAAATCAACTAACAGCTTTCCGACATTAATTAACTAACAGACACATAACTGAAAAGTGATACAATAAAATTATTTTTATTTTGTAACCGTCGTTGAACAGCCAACCCAATTTTTGGTTTACGACTACTAATGTTCAACTCCGTATCCTTGTCATTTTGATTCCCATCCAGAAGACAAGGAAACTCCTGGATCAGTACCCCCAGAGATTTGATTTGTCATGGGAACAATGGAGGACTTCGCAACTCGACAGTTTTAACGCGCATCAGTCACCATTTACTACACGGGGAGTCTCCGGCCTGCGGGGATCGAACTCACGAACTCTTGGACATAGGCCCAGTGCCCTACCAACCAGACTATCTTGGCCTTATAATTAACAAATTTTTTTAATAATTTATTATTATGGCTCAGGGAATAGAGTGTTTGCCTTCCAATGAGGTGAACCGGGGTTCGATCCCCTGATCGATACACATTCCGTATCCGGCTTGCACCGACCACAGTGCTGACGTGAAATATCCTCAGTGGAAGACGGATCATGGGTTAGAGTCCCCTTGCCGTTAGGCTTATCGTTGGAGGCTCTCGTGGTCTTCCTCTCCGTGTAACGCAAATGTGGGTGAGCTCCATCGAAAAATCCTCCACGAAGGCAAATTTCTCCCAATACTTGATCCAGGAGTTCCCTTGTCTTCTGGATTGGGTTCAAAATGACAAGGCTACGGAGTTGAACGTTAGTAGTTGAAACCCAAAAATTGAGTCGGCTCTTCAGCGACGGTTATAAAATAGAATAATTAATTATTATAAAAATAGATGATATGCTTTTCATTTGCGCAAAACTGAGGCCTTTCTTCAAATGAGTTTAGGCGGCGTTGTTTAAAGATCGACCAAACATTTGCAGTCATAAATATATCATATTTTTTAAAAATCGTTATCTCTTTCTGACGACTGAAGCTTCGAAAATCAACCCTAATTTATAGTTAAAATTAATTCTATAATTATTCAATATTATATTCTATAATTATTTGAACAAACTTATCACCTCATTCCAAATGACACACCCAGAATCCTTTCCATTGAATGGGAATCCAAATGTCGATTCATAAATCCCTGTTTTGAGTTGTTCTTATCTCAATTGGTTCTATCAATTGTAACCAAACGATTGATGTGACAGCCACAATTGATCCAGATAGATTGTTCACTTCTGAAGTGTTTCCTGTTCCCAAACGATTTAATCTCCCTCAATAGCTGTTAAGCATCTATCAAACTGTTCCAATGATCCTTTGTGCGCAGCTCATCCATTCAGATTCATACTGTTTGAGTGCATTCTCTATGGAACAACATATATGATTCTGATAATCAAATTATGAATTTAACGTAAATAAATAAGATGAGATTTAATTTAAAAAAATTTCTTGACCCTTACAACCGGCTTTAAAGTTTGAACTGTTCTATGGATTCTGTGCTACAGTCCCTAGCCAAATTATTAGACGGATTCTAAGATTCTATGTAGAATCTTAATTATTATGTAATACTATACGGCTTTATTGTTTTTATGTGACTGAAACCGGTTTGCACTTGTTTACGTTAGTGTGCGATGATTGGATGAATTAAACTATATCAGGGGTCTGTTTAGAAGAAATTTGGGTCCGTTAACGGACCCTTCACAAAATATCTTTTCATAAAAACGGACCCTTCACAAAATATTTTAACTTCAAAACGGACCCTTCACAAAATGATTTTTCTTTTAATCGGACCCTTCACAAATTTTTTTATCTTCATTATTATTTTGTTAATCGAATAAACCCTTTCCAGGGCAGAAAACAAAAAAGATGGATGTAAACGAATTAAGTTTTGTCTTCGGCAGACGATTCTTCCATTATTCGTCCAAAATTAATATTCTGCGTTCAGCAGTATAGGCTAAATACCAATTATTTGTATGTTGCATCTCTAATTTAAAAGGAGAAATTGTTGTTTATTTTTTTAATTACAATTTTACAGTGTTGAGCATAATCTTGTATGTCTATACAATTTAAAAACTCCTTGAAAAAAAATTTTTTTTTGCAATAACGGACCCTATTTGCACAAATTCATAAAAGCGGACCCTGGTTGAAAGAATGTGAGTAATTTTTTCACAATTTCACTAAAAACGGACCTTTCACAAAATGTCTGGACAGACCCCTGTATATATTATATAAATATAGAATATTTATTACACCAAGCATTATATTAGTATATTTTAATAATTAGATCAAATTATGAGACGCACTGTACTTTTTTAATAATGATTTGCTTGATTTTTTAATAATGATTTGTACTTTTTGTATAATGATTCACTGTACTTTTTTAATAATGATTTGCGTGCATGATTTGCACGAGTTTATAGGCAATACTTTTATATTTAAACATGTATGTAATGGGTTTTTATTCAGGAGATTTTTTTATATACTTCCAATTTGTATTTATTTTTAACGTATTGCATTACAATG